GGAAGTATCTTTTTTTATGGTTTGGATTCATTTTTGTAAGTAGATATTTATGCTTTCTTTGTTTTGACATTGTTTACTCTTGTTCTGACATTCAATCTCATGTTTTTTCCCTATGATAAACTTTATTTCATAATTCATAGAATTGATAAGAAAATTTTGATAGACTTCATTTCATAATTCATAGAGTTGATAAGAAATTCCAACTATAATGTCTGTGTAATTTATATACAAAAAAAGAGGAGTAAAAAATTTTAAAATTTCAATTACTGCAAATTTACCTAAGTGCGAGGAGGTTCAGGCACATTTCGACAGCATAATTAAAGAAGAGAAAACGGACTAAGAAAAAGAGCAAAGAACCTGGATAAATACAAGTTTTGGCTGCCTCCAAATCAAGTGGAAGGAAGCAAACCCTGTCATCCCCCTCATTACCAAACTCCTCTTTTCTGAATCCAACGTCGTTTGGATTGTGGGGTTCGGTCTCGGCATTCTTAGCCTTAGGCAAAAATCCCATAAACATATCAAGAGTCGACTGCTTCCCAGACGCAAGGCCACCACCATTACTCTGAAATTCATAGAAAATCAACCGATTGCACCATGTCCGAACTAATTGAGATCCAATTTTCCTCTCCAGACTCGAATGGCAATTACCTGAAACATCAACAATTTTCACGAATAGGAGTAATTAGAATATAATTTGAGTAAAAAAATACTCCGTAAATATATTTGGGGTAGCCGAATCCATGAATGGAAAGCTATAACGCAGTACCTGTAACAAATGAACCAAAAAGTGCCAAAATATGCTTCCTTACTGCCAATTCCATGGTAATACTGATTAGATGCTTACTCATTACCATCAGCCTTCTAATCCTATATAACATATATAACACCAAAATAAAAGAGTCATACACCAAATCAAATCTCATATATAAAGATTCTTTCACTACTTTTAAGAATCAAATAAGTCACTTCGTAATTTTGAATGACAAATTTGAAAAGCTTAGTCAACAAAGAAAATCAATTTTTAAGAGATGCATTTATTTGAATTATGGTTAATTGCAGTACACATATATGCTTAATAAATATGTGTGCTCACACATAAATCAAGCATGTGAGGTTTACACATGCATGTGTTCTCACATACCCTGATCAAACAATCAAGAAAGCATTTTTATATAATATTTAATATGAGCAGTAAACCTTGATGGCTCTGGTAAGAATTAAATTACTATACCAAGAGAGAAAAATAGCAACGCAGAACATGAGTTGTAAGGAGATTCATTTCATTGAATTGTGCTTAATTATTAGAATACAAATATGAATACTTGTAAAGGGTTTCGGATTAGATTTTAGCAAAAATTGACCTTCTTACTATAAAATTACTAATACGGCAAAAAAAAGTAAACTAGTGTAAACTAAAACTTTAAGTGGTATTGAATTACCTATTCCGATCTCAAAATTTGAAATTCCGAGTTGTGCTATTTCTGCCTTCGATTGAAATCCCTTTAAGGAAGGAAACTTGGCGATTGTGCTTTCAAAAAGAGATTCAATCCCAAACAGACATTTGTAGAAGATTAGGCTTGAATTTGAAACAAAAAATGAGTACTAAAATTTTCACAATGTCTTTGTAATTTCTAATTTCTACTTAAACAAACAATCAAAAAACAAATCAAATCAATTGATCAAAGGATCACTGAAATAATTGGCACGAATATACCGATGACTGCTTTCTTGGTTTGGCTGGCTATTGATGCAGATTGTGGAATAACAACGTTTTGCCTAAAATGGATGAAGGACAGAGTAAATAACATTTCATAAGAACAATAAAAAAACTGACACTAAAATCAAGTGCTAGTGAAAAGGAAATAGAGATCAAGAAGAAAGATATACTATTTTTAAAACTGCAAAATAATGACAAAATCGACCTCGGTATCGATCGATAAACAAAGAAAAAGGAAATCCGATTTAGGAAATTCGGAATCAAAATTAAAAAATGCAGAAAATATTGCTCATTAACAGAATTTGAAGAATAACACGGACCTGTAAATGGCTCACAACATGCTATCTTGTCAAGCATAGCTCCTTCCTGAATTGGATGATTGCCTACAGAGCATCTTCCGAAAATCAAAGAGAACCATTTAGTAATCACATGTCATAATAAGAAAAATTTACTTATTAGTCCATAACATAGTTATTTAAGGCGCGATGCACACCGATGCACAAAGGAGCTCTTGTGCCTCGATGCGCGATGCGCAATTGATGCGCGCGCATCACGAACACAATGCGCGCGTTGAGGCATAAGTAACATAGCATCTAAAAATAGTAATATTAGATATATAATGTTGAAAAGCATAAGAAAATTTTAAAAAGAAACCAATAATCAGATTATAGACTTCATGGGTTTTATAACAAATAAGGAAAATGGCCACTCCCATCTATTTTTGTGAACCTCCGAACATACTTCCATCCGGGATCATTAGAATTTGGTCCTTCAAGTTCTTCAAACCCAAAATCTAGAGATTCTTCCATACATGAAACTTGAAAGAGCACACAAAAATATAAATACAAGAAGGAAAAGAGGGATTCAGATCTAAGTTGTGACTCCAATACATACTTATCAAGGCGTCGCCTAGGCGACGCCTAAGC